TTCACCCCTTTTCACAACCCTTAAGGGATGATTTCTGGGATAAAAATATCCTGTCCTTCCCCCGGACTCAAACTCTTTATACCAAATTTCGCCTTAATCGGTTCAGCGGTTTAAGCTGTTTAGGTAAGGAACAGACAGACACATTTTCACATTTATAATATTAATATGGATTATTCGAAGACCTCCGAGGCGCGAGTGTATGTATGCAGGGTTTCAAGGTGTCGCCTACACAGAAGTCCCTGGTTCGAATACCGTGTTTGTACATATTTTAATGAATGCCAGCATTTTTACGCAAATGTTTGTACATATAATGAAAACCAGTATTTCTACATGGATGTTTATATACAGGGCGTCCCACGGCAACCTCACACGGAGGGAAAGTATATAAAATATTGAAGATAGGTTATTTTACTAAAAGAAGACATCATTTTATTTTTAATCATAACTAGAACTGCATTCACAGATTTTTTAAAAATCGCCTGATACAACTGGGAACCAAACTCGTGAAATTTCGAAAAAAAAACACGACATATTTTATGATAGCCATCGAAAGGGTTAATCATAAGGATTATTTTTTGCTCAATAACATAGCATTTTAAATGAAAGGAATGTCTTATTACGTGATAAAAATAATAAAGTGATATACAAATTGTAGTATGTATGCATTTCTTTTTAAATTCAGTTACAATGCGATTGGCTGCAAATAGTAATAATAATTCCAAAATCGAACACATAAATTTTCAAGCCTGTGTTCTTTTGTTTTTCGTGAGTTTCATTTTCGTTTATTTGAATTCTTTTGTTAATTTACTTACCATAGCGCATCAAAATAAAATAGATTTAATGTAAGCTTACTTTATGAACCACAAAGACATATCATTAGCTTAGCGGTGGTACCGCAAAAGATATTAGGTATGATAGAGACAAACCTTCTCGATATTTGTTTAAATAATGAAAGAAAGATAGAGATAGAGAAATATTTTCGATAAGCCATGGTAAGTAAAACAAAAAAAATGCAAATAAATGTAAATGAAACTAACAAAAAACAAAAGAACAGACACTTGAAAATCTATGTGTTCCATTTTCGAATTATTATTATTACAAATTTCTGCCAGTCGCATTGTAACTGTGAGTTCAAAAAGAAATGCATACGTACTACAGTTTGTATACCACTTTATTATTTTTATGACGTATTTCACATTCCTTTCATTTAAAATGCTGTTATTTAGCAAAAAATAATCCTTATGATTAACCCTTTCGATGGTTATCATAAAATATGCCGAGATATTTTTTTCGAAATTTCACGAGTTTAATTCACTGGGAATTTTGGCAGCATTGCAGGCGATTTTTAAAAAATCTGTGAATGCAGTTCTAGTTATTATTAAAAATAAAATGATGTCTTCTTTCAGTAAAATGTCCTATCTTCAATATTTAATATACTTTCCCTCCGTGTGAGGTAGCCGTGGGACGCACTGTATATTAAGACTAGACTAGATATTTATACTTATATATGTGTCAGCATAGATGAATGATTGGTCTCGCTTCACTCGACTAGATATCGCCGGCGTACTTGTCTAATACGGCAACAAATACTATGCCGAAATCGGCATACCCGAACTTTCACCGAGTCAGTCAACCTGACAGTTGTGTTTGGAGTGTACGTAGTGAATGTTTTATTAAAATTTGGTGTTTATCGAAGTCGATCACACTTGAATCACTGTTATAAAATGCCAGTTAATATAACATGTAAAAAAAATTGGGGCCTAAGTAAGCATTTTTTAAAGAAGAAACCTACGCCTAAATGTATAAGTACACTAAAATATTGATATATTCGCATTTAATTAAGTACATCTCCTTCAAGTATTTTATGAGCTACATTTATAACCTGGTACATATTAATTATAACCTACAATAATTTCCTTACACTTGGGTAGCAGTTGAGCAGCTGGCTACACGATTTATGACATTTGATAGCATCATTGCAAATTGACATACACACACTACAATAATGAGTTGCCGCATTTATGGAACTCTTGTTTTTTGACAGCACGGTATCTAGTCGAGTGAAGCGAGACCAATCATGTATCTATGTGTGTCAGTATAATATGTATTCTATCTGTTACCCTAGTATCCCGTAACACAAGCCTTACAGTGCTTATTTTGCGGCTATGCTAAATTGATGTTGTGTGAAATGTTGATTTATTTCTCCAACCACACCAAGTTAAGTTAAATAGGCGACGCCAGATAAAGAAGATGACATAAATCTGTGTTATTGACGTGACCTGGTTATAGGTTACTGCACACTTTTAACATCATATTAAATCGGAAACGGGTCGCTTATCAGGGGGTCTAAAATAATGTGATCGCCCGTTTCATTATATTGTTCATAACGTTTAAGTTTTTAAATATAAAATGACAATCTTTTTAAATGTAATATAAAATTTGAGAGATTCGTATGAGAATACCACATACACATATACTTAAATGAAACGTTATTATTACACCTTGTCTCTTTAACCCGAAAATTGGCAGAAGCGTCACGTAAAGAAACGCAACCACAACACCAATAATTAAATTAAATTGTCATTGATGATCTCCGTGGCCAAGTGGTATGTACGCCGGGTTTCATGGTGTCGCCAACTACCGGACTCGGGTCCCGGGTTTGTATCCCACTGGGGGTAGATGATTGTGTGATGATTACGAGCATTTGTGCTCCAGTCATGGATGTTTAATATGTATTTCTACATAAATATAAATATTTGTAGCAGTATATGTATTCTATCCGTTACCCTAGTATCCCATAACACAAGCTTACAGTGCTAACTTGGAGCTAGAGTATTTAGTGTGAGTGTTATCAATAAAAATATAATAAATTAAAGAACAACTCATTGACTATTGACGAAGAATGTCGCCACTTTAGACCCCCTGCTCCCGGTTCACCATCCGTCAACCGTGTGCAGCAAGGGTCAGTAGAACTATTCTTTAAAGTATAATCTCACTTCCGAATTAACAATGTCGATATGACAGTTCAAGCAACTGTAGCGCTAATCTGTAAGAACAAACCCACTTTTCACGGCGGTATCCACCGGTGTGACATGACATTTATTTGAAATTTGCATTTTAGTTTTAAATCACACCGACAATTCCAAGGTGAAAAGTGAGATTGTTCTAACAAAATAGCACTGCTAGTGAAACAGCTTCATTTGAGTCAGTTTCGATCCGTTAATTTTCCGATAAATGTGATCCAAATTATATTTCCCAACATCCTAATTATTATATATTATATCAGGTAATTCTCATGTTAAGAGACATTTATAGTTAATGACTGACCTGTTAAGTGTTACTGTGATGCTTGGTAAATTAATAATTACTTCTTACAAATAATATTTTACTAAACACGGTCATCGCAATTTGATTATCCCTTAAAAGTTTAACTCTTCATTAACGATCCCATTTATTCTGATGACAAACTGATATAAATAAACGTACCACTTAAAGCTCGTCGAGTGAGAGAATGCTCAGCGTGACACCTGAGCAATGGCCCAAATTTAAGGGCCTTCCAGATGTGCTGCCGTTAGAAACAAAGAATTCGTCGAGATGGATAAAGACATCTCCATTTCTAAGGCAAATCTATTTTGGTACAGATGAGAGCCACCTTTGTAAAATGTTTATAAATTCAAAATATTATACTAAAGAAAATATCAGGTAGGGGAGAATCTTCCAAAACCGGCTACGGAGGAAAACTGTATAGTACGTTTATTTTCGAAATTATTAAACTTCAGGTTGAAACATTGCAAGTGGGCATCCACCAAATATACGACATTACAAACAAAAACACCGAAAATGTGAAGGTTGGTCTCATGAAATCTGCCACGGCTTTGATTTTGAATATCTTGATTAATTTGAATATTATGCCTACATTTCCGAATGTTAAGCTATTTAATGCGGTAATAGAGTGTACGACATTGGACGGCCTCCGGGGCAAAAACGGCATTCAGAAGCTATTTTACTATTTTTGCAATAATAATTATTGTTATTAGTTATAAGCTTATGTTATCTCGGATAATATTCTTAACAAGATAGTAAAAAACGTTCATTAACCGGTGATCATGTGTTCTTATTTGCTGTGTCTTTTCTTCCTTAGGCATATGGTTTTGTAAAAGTCTCGCCTACGTACATTGATACTTTTAAAAGTTTAAGTAGGTATCTATATTTTGATACTTTGAACTTTGGACTCTATATCAACGTTTGCTCAAATATACTTTACCCAAAAAGTTAAGGATTGAAAATAAGTATACAAATTTAGTTTAATTATTAATAAGAATATCCAAAAATAGGCCTTTTTAGGGCCACTTGCACCAAAATTCTTAATTTAAATCAGTTTAACACGTCACTCCGTCTTTGTCCATAGTTTAATTTTATATTAAATAAAATACTTAATAGCGATAGAATGAGGCTTAAACTTTATTAGCTTTAAAATTTGATATTGGTGATCACTCACTTTTATGCCGCTTGATCAAGCTGCTTGGCGAAATAGGCTTGATCGAGCCAAACTGGCCGTGTTTGAGAAGAAATTTTGGAAGGACAAGCCACTTGACGGAAGGATTGATTTTTTTTATCTGCCGACTGTCACGCCGTTAAGCTGCTTGAACGTGAGTGCGACGTATACTCCTATACCGTCACTTCTCTTAAAGTTTTTCGGAGAGATCGTGTATAAATAAAATGTATGTGCAAATGAGTAATATTTGTTAAGTCAGGGTTTGCCCCAAAAATGCCTTTTTTGACACATAAATTGTCAGACCGACTAGAGCAATGTCGTGGTCAACGCAAGACATGTTGACTCGCTCGCTTCTTTGTGTGAGCTGACGGCGCGTCCTTTCACTTGAACGTGAGTGATCTCTGTCATGCCACTGGATGTCAAGCCGCTTGGTCAAGCGACATGAAGGCGAGGAGACACCAGTTTTATCTACTTAAATTTAAAGGAAGAGTTAAAAAAATACAAATTAAGATAGTTACACAATTTTTTACTACAGGCATACAAATTCATTATTTACTTGATCATAAAGTACTTAGGAGTTTTTGGAATTACTAAATGAAAAAAAAACTTCATTTGTAAACTATTTCATGATGAAACTTGATCAACGAATGAATGCCAAGTGTAATTAAAAAAAGCTGGATTTGCTCTAGGCTCTCTGACAATTGAATTCGCTCTTGGTATGACCCTTTTCTTCTCTATGGACAAACGTTCGATCATTGTTTTTACAATATAAGGATTTGCTTCAGCTATATTTTTTCGTTCACATGGATCATTTTTAATATTAAACAAACAAACTGTTCCTGGAAAAAAAACATTCATTGAGTTATATAACTCCTAAGAAAACTTTCCGTTTGGATAGCGAAAGATGCAGATTCGAATAAAATTCTGTCTGATGTCTGTACAGTGTGGAATTATTTTTAGTAAAACTTTCTTTAGATTTAAAAATCTAGCAATTAAACGTTAAAAAAATATTACTTATTTCTCTTATTTATTTTTCATTAATGAATAACTTACCATTTCCAGGATGACACAACTCATCGTCTTCATCATCGTGCTTTGGACATAGATCTTTAAACCTATTTCTTATGACCATATCTTCAAAGTGTATCGTTCTCCCTGCCTTTTTAAAAACACTATAAACTTTGCTATTTACAATAGCATCTGTATAAGATGGCGGTTTCCCAATTATTCCTAATAAGTCTTTACCTTGATGGTTACTATATTTTTGATCTACATGTCCTGTTATTAACTTGAAATCTCCATGAATATATGACTGATAACCTGCCATATCATCTATTTCTACAATTTCAGCTCTTGAGGAGGTTTGATTCATTATAATATTTGCCCATAGATCATGACCATCAATATTGTTGGGTGGTTCTTCTCCTATGGCTTTAAGCAGAGTAGGTAACCAATCTGATACATGAACATAGCCGTCATACTGATGGCTCGTTATTTCATCAGATGCCCAAATTGCTCCAACTACTCTAATTCCTCCTTCAAAAGGAGTCATTTTAAGGCCACGCAAAGGATAATTGTTGGCATAATTCACAGAGTCTCCTGACGTCATGCCCCCGTTGTCAGATATGAATAGAATTATAGTTTTATTTAAAATGCCTTTTTCTGATAGGGCCTCTACAACATCGCCAACACTGTCGTCAAGTTTTTTCACCATGGCTAAAAATATAATGTTATTTATTTAAATATAAATAAAATTTTATGCTTAAAGTTCATAATTTTATATATCGTACATGTTGGTAAATTTATCAGCAAGGGTTATGATAATAATGTATGCACTTGTTTTAAAATATCTAATGCTTAATTAACTATAGCTTATTTATGAGCGTGTTATTACTTCGACTCAATTCCACTTTAAGAGCTGTAAAAAGTCTTAAAATTGAATTTGTTTCTTAACATCAACAAGGCCTTAACAAACTGCCTGATGATGTTTTGGTTAAATAATAATAAACGAAAACATAGTCGTATTACGTAAAACATTAGGAAATTATTTGTTAAAAACAATCATATAAGCTAACCAGCAAAAATCCTCCGTTCTGGGGACTCAACGTGCCGCATAGATCGAACCACTTCAGGTGGTGCCTGAAGTATAGCGCCATCGTTTCCGCTATGGGGCGCTAGGTGGGCCATCATCAAGAACAGTGGTTTGGATGCATCATGTGAATTTATAACTGAAATGTTATAGTCATCTTAAAACTGCACGTTTTACAATATTATGTTACAACTATCATAGATTAATTAATTCTTTCCGAAGAACTAAGCTCTTTATTATCAAGTTTCTTTTTTTAATTCAAATGTATGTTAAATTGTCGAAATTATTTATTACTTGAAATGGCTTCCTCGGTATATAAATCCGTAATATATCCTTCTTCGTCCCATGCCGCCGTTTCATTTCTGTACAAATCCATCCCAGACACTTTGCCAATGCTCCACTGTTTAAATAAATCATGACTTATTAGATAGTTACAAAGACACAATTAGAAAATCGGAGTTGTCGTGTACAATTATAAATATTTATTTTTATTCGACAATATCGTCACTTTCATAGTAAACTTACGAATTTGAATTTCATAAGACCTACTACGCCAAAATATCGTATATTAATTTGGTAATTTTACTTTGGGCGTATAAACATAAATGCAGATTCAAACAATCAGACTTCTGGAACCGTCATTGATAAAATTGTGTACCTTTTCCCTGGTGTTAAGTACCCCATTATGTGCAGTTTTTTATTATAGATTTTTACTAAGAAAGCAGATTCGTAAGTTTGCCGTAGATGTGACGATATACTGAATTTTTACAGACTCTCTACCCCATCTAATGTTAAGTGGCGGCTAAGTTCAGTCGCGAAGATAGAATTAAATCCTTTTATGCATTATTGGTGTTTTTAAACGACGAGAAAAACGGAGAAGAGGTTCTCAATTCGACGCATTACTTTTTACTACTCTGAGTCTGATTTTGATAATTCTTTTTTTATTGAAAAGCGTATATAACGTTCCTCGTAACTCGTAACCTCGAACCCCTTTGCACAGATTACAGACATCTCATAATCATGGGTGATTTTAACACCGATCTCATGCGTAATACGCCACAGTCTCTTAAATTGCTCAATATTGTCAAGTCCATTAATCTATCTATTCTGCCTTCCGAGCCAACTCACCACAATCCCTCATCTGATGATACATGGCTTGATTTAATAATTGAAGATGTGATCTGTCATGGACAATTTCCAACCCAAGGTTTCTCTAAACATTACCTTATCTTCTTGAAATATAAATTGAAGCCCCCTAAGCCGAAACCCTCTCTAGTCTGGATGCGTAATTTTTCTCGGCTTGATCTTGACAGGTTGAGGCAGGATGCCGCTGGGCTCGACTTTTCTTGTGTCATGCAGTCGTCGTCAGTTGATGAGAAAATCTCTCACTTTAATAAACATTTACTACAACTGTACGATACTCATGCCCCAATGAAGGCGGTTAGTGTTAGGCGACCACCTGCACCATGGATCAGTAGGGGTGTCCGTATCGCTATGACTCGGAGGGACCGTGCCTTCCGAGCCTTCAAGCGCAACAGATCGGAGGAGAACTGGCATATTTATAAATCTGCACGCAATAGGTGCAATGGAATGGTAAGAGCAGCTAAGCGACAATACTTTCACGACAATATTTCTAATTGTTCTTCAGCCAATATTTGGAAGTTTCTACGTTCCCTTGGCTTGGGTAAAAGCTCTTCTCAATCTCAGTCTCTTCCCGTCTCTCTTGATGAGTTAAATAACCATTTCTCTGTTTCTGCTTCCTTAAAACCCGCTACCAAATCTAAAACCATTGATATAATAACTTCCATGGCTTAAACTCACTCTGAATCTTTTTCCTTCTCTCCAGTGTCAAATGATGAAATTAGGAAAATTATTATGTCCATAAAGTCGAAAGCCGTAGGATACGATGAAGTGAGTGAGATATGATAATTAATATTCTTGACGTTACTGTTCCCATCATTGGACATATCATCAATCATTCCTTTCTCACTGGTTCCTTTCCTCTTAATTGGCGTAAAGCCTACGTTATTCCTCTTCCCAAAACTTCCAATCCAAAACAACTGAATAACTTTAGGCCGATTTCTATTCTTCCCTTCCTCTCCAAAATACTTGAAGCTACTGCTTACCAACAAATTTCTTCTTTCATATATTCCAGGCAGTTACTTACTCCTCTCCAATCCGGTTTTCGACCTGGGCACAGTACGTAGACTGCTCTGCTTAAAGTAACCGAGGATATTCGACTTGGTATGGAGAACCAGTTGGTCACCATTATAGTCTTAAATGATTTCTCCAATGCTTTTAATATGGTAGACCATGATCTTCTGCTTACTATTCTGAAATCCCATAATTTTTCATCTTTGACATTGGACTGGTTTTCGTCTTACCTTTCTGATCGCCAGCAGGCAGTGCGCAAGGAACGTAAGTTATCTAACTGGAATGACCTGACTGCTGGTGTTCCTCAAGGGGGAATTCTTTCTCCTCTTCTATTCTCTTTATTCATCAATTTTCTTTCCTTCTCGCTTGGCTGTTTTTATCATTTCTACGCTGATGATCTGCAAATTTATGTGCAGACTACTGTCGAGGAAATGGCTGCTGGCATATCTCAGCTAAATAAAAATCTTTGCAATATAAGTACGTGGTCTGCAGACTTTGGAATTGCTGTTAACCCCACTAAATGTCAGGCAATCGTTGTGGGTGGTTCCAAGCAGATCTCAAAGATCGATTTTGGTCTGCTCCCACCTGTTGTGTTTGAGGGTTCTACAATTCCATTTAGCCTCAGCGTCAAGAATCTCGGCCTTCACATTGATACCACGTTAAGTTGGATATCGCAGATTGCTGAAGTTAGCCGAGCCGTTACTTTTTCATTACGTTCCCTTAATCACTTCAGAAATTTCCTCCCCATAAAAACTAAGATTACTCTCGTTACGTCTCTTTTTCTACCACTCATTGATGATGCCGATGTCTGTTATCCTGACTTAAACGCAGATCTTCTCAACAAATTGGACCGCCTAATCAATAATGCTATCCGTTTCATCTTCTGCCTCCGCAAATTTGACCATATTTCCTCATATCGATCTCAACTAAAATGGCTTCCTATCCGCCAGCGCAGGCAGTTAAGATTACTCTGCACTCTTTTTTCGATAATTTCCAATCCGCATTCTCCAGAATATTTGAAATGCAAGTTCCAATATCTCTGCGATAGTCACGAACGTCCTCTCCGCTCTTGCGATTCATTAGCTCTCTTTATCCCTCTTTCTCATTCAGGCTATATGACCAACTCCTTTACTCTCCAAGCCATACGGCTGTGGAATGACCTACCCGACTCCATCAGAAGATCTCCAAATAAACTTATATTTAAAAGGAATGTTCGCACTCATCTGCTTCAAAATTTAAGATAAAGAGTCACTTTATTAATCATCATCATGTGTATAGTTAAGTGTATATATATATATATATATTGCCGTTGGTCCCGGCTGCATCTGCAGTCGTTAGCACCCGCCAATCCGCACTGGGCCCGCGTGGTGGGTCATGGCCCAATCTCCCTATTCCATCCGTAGGGAAGGCCTGTGCCCCAGCAGTGAGGACATTAATAGGCTGATGATGATGATGATGATGATGATATATATTTAAATATAATTGTGGTATGTATGTATGTATGTGCATTCCTTTCGTAAGTAGTATGTATTATATATGTATCTATGTTAATTCGTATATATTTTAATATTATTTATTATTTCAATATTTATGAGTATGTTTAGCTTTATACCGCTTTTCTTTTTTCCCAAAGGTTGACTGGGAGAGAATGCTATTAGCATTAAGTCCGCCTTTTGTACCATTGTATTGTATTTTGGTCAATAAAGTTTAAAAATAAATAAATATATACTCCGAAGTTGTTCACACTTGAATTTGAAAAATAAACCAACCCTAAGGGTATGAAAACAAAAGATGATTGATTGTTCACTCACAGATTTTGATGCCGAGTTGTATTTTACAAAAACTGTAGTCACAAAAAATTGTGAAATAAAAACTTTTTGACAAATAAATTAAACCGCTGAAAAGTAAAAAAATATAATCATTTTTTATCTTTAGTCAAATTAATAATTGGACTCGGTGCCACGCACGTCTGATAGATCTGAGTTCCCTTTTACTACTTGGGTTAGCCTGGCACTGGCACCGACTCCAAATATTAATTTGACTAAAGATAAAAAAAGGTTTATTGTTTTTTTTATTTTTGGGCGGTTTATTTTTTTTGGTAAAAAGTTTTTTACTTTTGTATTTACTTTCCCGTTACGATTAAAATTCAAGTCGGTAATCAGGAAAGTTAGTTCCTACCTACTTATGTTTTACGCAAATAAACATTTTCATTTTATACGAAGGATCGCTAGTTTCATAATGAAAATAAATAATAAAAACTCACATTCTCTTCCGAAGTATACTCATAATAGTCCACAAATCCACCTCTATGCCCAAAATACGTATCGAAGCCGCGTTTTGTCGGCAAATACTTTTCTCGGGAACCACCAACGTGCCATTTACCGACCAAATGGGTGGCATAGCCCAGCTCCTTCAAATACTGGGGTAATATTTTCTCGGTAGTAGGAAGCCCCCTATCCTCGCCGTTTGTCAAAGGGTAGCCTTGCATTCCTGTTGAATAGTAACTTGTGCTATTATACCTACACAACTTAGCGCTTGATCCCTTTGCAGGAGGCAGAGCATCATAGATGCGACAGAATTAGATAAATATTACAGCAGTATTTCCCTAACTATGCAAAACCTACGCAGCAATAAGCATCGGATACCAGCTTTTTGGCTAGAATAATTTCCAATTTAAGGAAACTTTTAGAACTTATTTAACAAAGGAATTAATTATTATAATATTGTTATATAATTATTAATTATTTTTTTCACATAGCACAATAACCTTATAGTACCACTGCATTGAAACGACGGTAGCTTTTGTGGATTGAGGATCAATCTCAAAGAATAGCTGCCAATTTGTTTGCTGCTTCTACAAGATTTTTGAAAAGTGATAAGGGTTTCGTGGTCATGAGAGCTCAAATTTATAGGGGACGGTAAGAAATTACTCAAAATCCAATCAAACTCATAAATCGAATTTACCACAGAAGAGGGCCCACCAATGAGCCCTGTGGAACAGCGCAACTCATGTTGTCGGTAAGCAACTCTCCTCCTGACCGTGGGTAAAGGATTCTTCTTCCGAAAGATAGCTATGGATGATGCGCCGGAGGTATGGGTATGGAGACACTCTGAGATACGTAGTCCCTCAAGTGTACATGCACGAACGAGAATATAAATAGCATAAACTGCTTGCGGTATCCTTGGTTACCGCAAATAACCTCACACTCTCTCAGTAGCTTCCAAAGATAATATATTCGCCGTAGAACTTAATATTAAATGCGTTTTAGTCGGTCAACCTGCACGCAAGTCGTATTGTCTTTGTGATAGGCAGGGACCTGTTGTGGTTAGGTGTTTGACAATGCGGGCTGCGATTATCCCTTCTAACAATTTACCCGCCTCGACATATCACATTAATAAATTGGTCGGTAAGCAGATATTGAGATCGCTTATTGTACACAGTCAGGTCATAAGTATTGTCACACAGTAAAAACTTTTCTTTTAGAATGCTGGCCACAAAACAGTTTTTTGAATGCGAATTTCGAATTGTTCATGAAAATAAAAATATATACTTTTTTTTTAGAATTTTACTCATCTTTAAATATGGAGTGGACGCTTAAAGAAGACCGTGCTGCAGTTATTGCGTAGCATCGTTGCGGTTTCGCGCCAATTCAAAATTTTGACATACTAAAAAATTTGAATATAACCAAAAGATCCGTTTATCGTACCATCAAACGATACAAAGAAGACTCTAGTGTAGATGACAGGTCAAGAAGTGGTCGCCCTCGGTCTGTTAGGACTCCAGCAGTGATAAAAGCTATGAAGGAGCGAATTCAAACAAATCCCAAACGTAAGCAGAAACTGTTGGCCCTCCAGATGAGGTTAAGCAGAACCACGGTGAAAAGTGTGTTAAATGAAAACTTAGGGCTTCGGGCATATCGAAGAAAAAACAGGACATCGTCTAATGGACCTGAGACTGAGGAGATGCCGCACTTTGTTGAAGCGGTACGCGGAAAAAAAATATCGGTAAATTCTTTTTTCGGATGAAAAAAAATATACCGTAGAAGAGAGCTACTCGTACAACAAACAAAATATAAGATGTACGCACACAGTAGTGAAGAAGCGAGCAACCGTATAAGATGTACGCACACAGTAGTGAAGAAGCGAGTATTCCGCGTGTCCAACGAGGTCATTTTCCATCCTCGCTCATGGTATGGTTGGGAGTTTCTTATTGGGGCTTAACAGAGGTACATTTACATATTTACGGTAACAAGGTGTAAAAACGAACGCAGTTGTGTATCAAAATATAGTCCTGACGAACCTTGTGGAACCTGTTTCTCATACCATGTTCAATAACAGGCACTGGGTATTCCAACAAGATTCGGCGCCAGCTCATAGAGCGAAGAGCATACAAGACTGAGAAAATCGGAGAAAAAATCGACTTCATCCGGCACGAAGACTGGCCCTCCTCCAGTCCAGATTTGAGTCCGTTAGATTACACGATATGGCAACACTTGGAGGAAAAGGTGTGCTCAAAGCCTCATCCCAATTTGGAGTCACTCAAGACATCCTTGATTAAGGCAGCCGCCGATATTGACATGGACCTCGTTCGTGCTGCGATAGACGTCTGGACGCGCAGATTGAAGGCCTGTATTCAAAATCACGGAGGTCATTTTGAATAAACTTTGTTGTCATAAGAATCTATGTTTTGTTAAGTTCATTTTGGTATATAAATGGTTACATAATGAACTAACTTGTTTCAATTATTTTATATTAAACATGTTCTGATTGACTGACCTGGTAAATAACCAAACCAAACCTGACTAGGTAAATAACCAAAAAAAATCTATGGTTGCTTTTGTTGCGAACAAGCGCGAATGGGTGCTATGCGCATATCTTGTTAATATATCGTGTAATACACAGATCGCCTAGGTGTGAGCAAATGATGTTGAATTATAAATTGATTTCGAACTCATGGAATCACAGTTTTTCTGCAAATACATAGATTATTTACCTGTGGTATAAGCATATTTGCCTGTGAGTAAGGCGGAGCGAGAAGGTGTGCATATGCAATGACTGTAGTACCTCCCCAATGTGACCCCGGCGTAACCCAGCGAGTCTATATTAGGCGTCATTACTTGATCAGTACCATGAGAACTGACATCATTCCAACCCTGAAACGCGTCAACTTTACACTATCTGTTGTTAGGACCAATTTGACTTATTTTATTCAAATATATTACGTTTCAATTAATAGTTTTGGGTTTCCGTACCTGGACAACGGAAACCCATTTACTAAGCCTTCTCGTCCGTCCATGAGTTAGCAGGCTGTAGGTATCTCATGAACCGCAACAGGTATGAGGAGCTGGCGAACAAAACGGTATAATTACATAAAATTATTTTTAACAGGAGCTGTATTAAACGAATGACATACCTCCAGTGAGCTTTTGGCATGGTGTTTAATTTATAAATTTAGTAAATTTAATACTATTTTAGGCGGTTTTGATTGAAAATTATTTGAGATTCAAATTCAACGGGCCCGAAACCTCCGGACTGTAAAAAAAATTAGTTTGACCTGATGCGTAATTATACCGTATTGTTCGCCAGCTCCTCGTATATTGCTAAATTTTCCCAGCTATTGGTATTATAATAACAATAAAAAAAATTTACTCCATGTAATAGCTGTAGGGCAAATGTTACTAAAATTGTGCGATGCTATAATATAACCTTTCATAGGCGAGTCCGGCTCGAATTAGGTTGATATTTTTTTTGTTGCTAACTCTATTTATCAGGCATTTGATTATTTTCTTTTGCCGTCAGCAATTTTCGACTTTATTGTAACTCTTGAAATTATTCAAAACAATAATTTTACTTTTTTCATATTTGTAATCAATTTCAAATAAATTCTAAAGTCACCAGCGAAAAATTTAAAGGCAGTAAGAAATAATATTAACGTATAAGAAGATAAGCTTACCAAATCGTCTGCAATGATAATAACTATGTGACGTCTGTTATCATTTTTGCCGTTGACTTTCACACTTAACACAGTTATTGTCAGTGATAGCAGCAGGATACACAATATGTACAAGAATCCCATTCTGCAAATATAATTTGTTACAGAAACAACAATATAAAAACTTGTCTTGGGCAATAGCTCAAGAAGAAGATAAAGGAGATTGCTCAGCTTCCATACGTGTTTGGCCTAACGACCAATAATCATGAAAAATTGTTTCCTAGATTCGAAATTATATACAAATTACTGTAGAAACGAATATTATTGACGGACACCCCTGAGAACTTCTATAAACCATATACACTGAACATATTAAAATAATAAAAAACAAAAAAGTTATATAGTAAACTAGGGAAATCGAGCCAAGTACCGAAATTATGGATTAGATTCAGGTATATAGAGCATGTAGATTAACAGATAGTTGCCTGTTTTTAAAGTTAATGCATAAGAGTAACTTTTAAAATCAGGTGTCATTTGCGGTTATAATAAGGTACTCTGTGACAGAAACTGTGTGATGATTGTGAATGAGCCACAGATTTGAGAGCATTTTTAAACTCTCGTTAACAAAAGAAAGTCAAGAGATTTGGGTTCTATAGCCATATATTCAGTAGCTTCCTAACATATATACAGATTATAATGTGTTTATGGAGGTCTTTGGCGAAAAATGTATGGCAATAGACTTTATGATGTAGCCTACCATCTATAATAATTGTCTGAGCACATTTGCATCTAGTGAAAATGATAATATAGTGGTGGATATTAATACAACAGTGTAATAAATATTTTATCGATCTTTACAAAATAGATTTATTTTTATGTTATATAAACAACTTCGATCAGTCTTTGGCTGAATGTTACTACACCCATAGCCATTAAAAATGATTCGTATGTTTTCCAAACCGGTAAAATTAAAAGTCCTTTTTAAAGTAAATATATTATACAAAGGAGTCCGTTGAAATCTAATGACTGTAAATTAAATTATAAATTACGCCAAGAATTACCGTGTATGTCAATATTTTTTGTGCATTTAGGCCAATTTGAGCAGTCTCCTTTATCTTTTTTTATATTATAAAGTTTTTATAACACTAGAACACACATAGACAGCAAGCAGAACTAACATTTACACTAAAATAAATACACATGCATACTGATAAGTTTTATGTTTGATTGATATAACTTTTTCTTAAATCTCTTTATTGAAAAAAAAAACAAACGAACACTTTAACGCGTGAAAATTATTGTTCTTCGTCATTGATTTTGAAAAGTAATTATTTAGTTTTAATTTCCGCACATTTTTTGAGAAAAAGGCTATACAAGCCCTGGGCACAACACAACTAGGCATCGATGGACATATGTATGATACATTTAAACGTTCGTCCATCGATGCCTTAATGAAATATAACAGTAAGACAGTTGTGACAGAGATAATTTCTGTCGATCTATAATACTCGTAGTTAGCGAGATGGTAACAACGCTCTTTTGTAGCGTTAGATACAAGTCGCGGCACGTAACTCTAGCGCTGAACAAAACTTGGAGGAGATAACTACGCATGGGTACGTCTGGAGAGCCAATCGGCGCAACGCACGCCCGCCCGCGCACCTCTGTAACCCCGAAACATCATAATTTTTACTTCTGCGCAATAACGGTAAGCGCTAGAGTTTCTTGGTGCACCAGAAGCGGTTGCGTAATTACGACTTCTATGTACAAATGAAAAAAAAACCTATAAGTAAGTTTTTCTTCATTTCATTTCATTCATTTATATTATGTCATAATAAATAAAACTAGTTTAAACGGGATAATGCACGAAACTTTATTTATTTATTGACGTTTCGTAGCCTTTCCAGGCTTCGTCGTCAGAATAAAACTTTTGTTTAATTTGTCGAGCTACCTTCGAAAGACTTTTATTGAGCGTTTGGTTATTTCATCGTTCGATTTTTAAGTTTTATTGTCTATGTATCAATTTATTATTTAATTTACTTAATAAAGTATTTTATTTAAAATTCTTGTTTGTAATTTTGCGTTTATTTATTTGACCCTAACTACCGTAAACTACCACTGCAGTATGTGCAGCATATAGTGCAAGACCATCAGATACTATTAGTTCTTTTTGTTTGCATAATTTAACATAAGAAGGAGATAGAAAGCCTCTCTTGAGTTTGTTTCGCCGGTTCTTCTCAGGAAGGTCTCCCAATTTTGGAACCGGTGGTAGTTTACGGTAGTTAGGGTCAAATAAATAAACGCAAAATTACAAACAAGAATTTTAAATAAAATACTTTATTAAGTAAATTAAATAATAAATTGATACATAGACAATAAAACTTAAAAATCGAACGATGAAATAACCAAACGCTCAATAAAAGTCTTTCGAAGGTAGCTCGACAAATTAAACAAAAGTTTTATTCTGACGACGAAGCCTGGAAAGGCTACGAAACGTCAATAAATAAATAAAGTTTCGTGCATTATCCCGTTTAAACTAGTTTTATTTAATGAGTGATGTGCGTGAAAACCTAAGAAACAAATTATGTCATAATATTTTTAATACTTAAATTATCTAAATACAAAGCTGTCACAGCTTACCTCGGTGACAGAAGAGTTGTGACAGTGGGAGTACTTTTACTTTTGGTATGATTTTCTCGAAAACCAATTTAATTAATTTTGAAAATTGTTTTCTAAATGGAAGGAATAGTGCAACATTAATTGACATAGGGATTAAACCAAAAGTACTCGTCAAGGCGAATCAAACGAGCTCAAACTCGATGCGATTGTGTCGTTTTATTTTGGACTTCCTATGACCACCTTCCAGCTCCATCATCAGACCTTGGATACGATCTAGAGACAAAGTACTCGTCAAGAAAAATCAAACGAGCTCAAACTCGATGGGATTGTGTCGTTTTATTTCGGACTTCTTATGGCAACCTTCCAGCTCCATCAACAGATCAGCTACATGTTATCATAATACTGCATTGTCACACTATATACTTTTAAAGTATTTTAAATTCAATAATGCACAGTTTGGTTTCCGTGCCAGTCTTTCAACTGATATGGCCATTTTTGCATTAAAAACACAGTAAAATATTATTTAAAACGAAATACAAGTGCATATGCGTGCTATCTTGATCTCAGCCGCGCTTTTAATACAATACAATATGATATATTGTGGGCTAAAATGGAGAAGACAGGTGTGCCCGGTGAGATATTGGGACTATTTAAATATTGGTACGGAACCCAAATGAACGTGGTAAAATGGGGTAGTGGCTTCTCCAAAGAATATAAGCTTGGGTGTGACGTGAGACAGGGTAGCCTCACGTCGCCAACCCTATTTAATCTTTATGTGGACGGATTAATGGATGAACTCAGTGGGTCCAAAGTTGGCTGTTACATGTGCAATCAACCTGTCAATAACTTCAGTTACGCTGACGACATGGTCCTGCTGAGTCCCTCTGTAAGGAGCCTACGGAAACTTATAAATATATGTGAAAGATATGCTTCACGTCATGGTCTAACTCAACGTGGATAAGACGGAGGTAATGATATTCAGGCACGATAGGACGAATATGTTTAACCCTGTTGTCACTTTGGCAGGATCACAGCTTAAAATCGTATCACAATTTAAATACCTGGGACATATTATAAGAAATTACTTAAATGATGACGATGACATAGAAAGACAAAGGAGATCCATTGCCGCCAAAAGTAATATGTTAGCTCGCAGATTGGCTCGGTGTAGTGTGCCTGTAAATACGCTATTCGGCACTTATTGCCAGTCGTTCTATATCAGCTAATTGTGGAAAAACTATACAAAGAGAGCATACCACACTTTACGTGTGCAGTACAATAACGCTTTTAGAGCCATGCTTAAACTGCCATGGCGGTGTAGTGCGTCGGGCATGTTTGCGGAGAATAGGGTTGATGATTTCTATGCTATAATGAGAAAAAGAGTCGCTTCCTTTATGGATTGCTTTAGAAAATGTTGTAATTTAATGCTATGTATGACTGCTGTAAATATGACATTTGTGATATTTGACATCCTTGCCTGCTGTAATCGATTTTATTTTGACTTAATTTTCATTTGCTTTTGATTTATTTTATTTGATTGATAATTGGTTTATGATGTAATTTAAATGCATTGTAATTATTTGAAATTTATATTTTTGATTATTATTATTGTGATCGTAATTATTTAATTTAATTATCATTTTTTTCTATTTCTGTATGTAATATGGGCACTACACCTGAAATAAATGGTTATCATTATTATTATATAAGTATGCGTGCTAAATTTCTGTCAAATTTTTCTTGCAATATTCCTTGTAAAAAGCTTGTAAATAAAAGCTTGTAACAACATAGTAATTAAAGTCAGCAAGGGCGGAGGGGAGACGTTTTAAGGGAGTAAAATGGTTTATCGCGATTTTCCAGAAAACTACAACTTCTATCGAAATAAAATGTATGGCAATATTAAAGACAATTAAAAGATCTACAACTTTTGTATCTACACTTGTTTCACATTATCCAAAAATATCTGCGCTATATCAAAATAACCGACTTTTTGGTTATTATTATTCTCCTACATTTTTTTCTCACGATATTTCGTAAAATCTAACCTTCCAATGTCCTAAATATGCACTTTTTTTTCGAATATAATTTTTTTTTTCAACTGATGTATCAATATATATTATTGATATATTTTTATTTTTGAAGAATTTATGTTATTTCAAAAAAGTAATCATATTTTTAATCGAAAAATCTTCCAACCTAAGAGTTTATTTGCAAATAAGTTACGTGTAATTTTTGTTCTTTAGAACCTCTGCTTTTTGATGATAAACAAAAAATATACATTATCTACTATAGTTTTTTTTCTCAGAAAATGCAAATGCGTCGTCACGATTCTCGTTCTTTTAAGGGGGGAATCAGATATCACGATTTTCGGGGAAAATACAACTTCAATCGAAAAAAAAAAGTAATTAAAAGATCTTAGATAATTTTATTCAATATAAGATGTAGTTTTCCGGAAAATCACGATAAACCGTTTCCCTTCTTAAAGGTCTTGCCTCCACCCTTTTCGACCTCAAATCGCAGTAATATATT